GTAACTTCAAAGCCAGATGAACACTGTTATGCTTGAGAGAATATCACTGAATGCACAAAGATGTTATGCCTTGCACCAGGTTATTATATCACAAAAGACATCACAATAAATAGTGATGTCAATTCTTGGTACACACTTCTTCCCAATGAGAAGTGACTGCTACACTGTCTGCACAGTCACTTCTCTGCAGTTGCGTTCCAGCTGTATAGTTGACTTGTACTTCTGTCAGAGAACCCCAAGGGACCAGGTCCTTGTTGTGTTCCTCTTTATAATGATTGCGGACAGTCACTAACTTGTACTTCTGTCGGAGAACCCTAAGGGACCAGGTCACCAAGTCCCTGTTGTTCCTCTCTGTGGTTGTTCATTCATTTGCTGGAGATCAGACTGAACATTGTGTTCCTCCCTGTGGTTGTTCATTCATTTGCTGATTTTCAGACTGGACATTATTAGTTGAAATGTATGCCATATGGGTCAAGTTCTCTATCTGATTCCACACAACAAGTTTGTTAGATCATCAAAATATAAGAAGCATAAGAAAAAGACATTGAAGACCCATCAACCTCGAACACATACACTGTTCATGTGAATTCTCTCAGTGTCGATCTTCAACTTTTGCAGAGTGGACAAAGGGCAAATATTTGCACTAGAGCCATTATCAACCAGCACCCTTGAGACAATAGAATCTTCGCATTTCACCATGTGATAAAGATCTCGGTTATGTTCTGTACCCTCCACAAGAAGTTCATCATCTAAGAAAGTGATCATGTTTGCTTTGAAGATCTTGTTAGCAATCTTTTCCAAGTGGTTCACCATGATCTTATCAGGAATATGGGCCTCATTCAAAATCTTCATCAGGACTCTGCGGTGTTCATCTGAATGTATCAACAAAGACTAAAGAGAGATCTAAGCCATGTTTTCTTTAGTTGTTCCACAATGGAATATTCTTGCACTTTCATCTTTTTCAGGAACTCCTCAGCCTCTTCTTCAGTGACCGATTTCTTTACCGGCATTTGACTATCCTTGAACGGCTTGGCTTTCCTTAATTCTTCTAGGATAAAGCATCTCCCAAAACGAGTCAATCCTCTAGTTTCATTGACTTCTTCCTCCACCTCTTTTACTTTGCATGTCACTATCACTTGCTTGTAATTCCACAGAACAGCCTTGGTATCAACCATTGGTAGCTGAGTCACTAGTTTAATTACAACAGGGGTAATAGGATCCCCTTTCACAACTATGACAGGCTTTCTTGGGACCCCTAGCACTACCACTTTTGGATTTTCCTAACTTGCCCCAATATCTTTTGAAGGCCTTTCACGACCAACATTGGTGGAGCGAGCTTAGCTTCTCTGTCACCCCTTCAACTATCAAGGGCGTTGCTTTGGTAGAGTCTGGAGCTTTAACCAAATTACTTTCACCCGCCTGAATCATCATGATGGACTTAGAAGACTTCCTGAGCTCCCCATCCTTATGAACTATTTTAATCATATACATCTCTACATGGGCTGGCAAAGGGTTTTGGTTGATGTTCGGTGTGTCTGGGCTTTGGACTACAATTTAGTTTGTATCAATGAGCTCCTGGATTGCCCTTTTTAAATGCCAACACTTCTCTATGTCATGCCCTGGAGCATCAGAACAATAGGCACATCTGAGGGAGTAATCAAGGTTCTTTGGAGGGGGATTTGGTATCTTTGACTCAATCGGCCTCAAGACATCCAACTGCCTCGACCTTTGAAACAAACTGGCATAGGACTCTCCAAGAGGGGTGAAAGTTTATTTTCTCTGTTGCCTTTCTTTTCTATACTCCGGCCTTGGTAAAAAAATTGGACCAATAGGGTTTCGGTAGGGTTGTGGAGGTGGATAAGTATTTGTGGAGCTGGATAACACCATTGCGGGTAAGGAGGGGTTGAGCATATGACTATGCATGGTGAACATGGTATTGGGGTGGTCTGACTGAGTATTAGGGGCCTTGCGGGGGAAAGTAATATTGGGGTGGATTATGTGGAGCTTGGGTGTAGGCTTGAGGTTGGGGTCGAGGCTGAGCATACGGGTGAGGCGAACCTCTCGGTCCACGCCATGGTCCAGAGACAACCATGGCAACATCATCCTTCTTCTTCTTTCCTAGCAAACTTCCGGTGCCACCCTGGATTGCTTACGTGGTTGATTTTATGGAGAAGTAGCTCATGATGTTGCTTGACTTGAGTCCCTCTTCCACCATTTCTCCCATCTTTACCATATCATTGAAAGGCTTACCAATGGCTGAGATCAAATAGCCGAAGTAAGTAGGCTCCAGGGCTTGAAGAAAGTATTCAACCATCTCGTCTTCTTCCATCGGAGGATTGACCCGTGCAGCTTGCTCCCTCCATCGGAACCCATATTCTCTAAAGCTTTCACTGGGCCTCTTTTCCACCTTGGTTATAGATAGGTGATCTGGGACACTATCTATATTGTACTAAAAGTGTCAGGCAAAAGCCTGAGCCATATCGTCCCATGTGTACCACCTACTGGCGTCCTGGTGGTGTACCATTCTAAAGCTACCCCACTAAGACTCTGGCTAAAGTACGCCATCAGTAATTCGTCTTTTCCCTCGGCGCCTCTTATTTTACTGCAATAACCTCTCAGATGAGCTACAGGATCCCCATGTCTGTCATATAAGTCAAACTTGGGCATCTTGAACCCTATAGGCAGTTGGACATCAGGGAACAAACACAAATCCTTATAAGCCACACTCACCTGGCTTCCTAACCCTTGCATGTTTCTCAATGATTGCTCCAGACTCTTTACTTTCCTAAATATCTCCTCTTGCTCCGCGTTCTTGGGTTGTTTCTTAGTTTCAACATAAGGCTCAAAGTGAAGAGTGTAGGAGTAAAGATCTGGGACTTTGAAGGTGGGTTCCGGGGCATAGTATTGGGTATCTGGAGCTTGGAATTCGGGCTCACTAGAGGATCAGTGGAGGGTAGCTTGTGGAAGGGGTACAAAAATAGGAATAGATGTCGGAGCAGGGTATGAGGTTATTTTGGCTGGTGGAGCATGAAAAGTTTGGGACGAAGTGCCGGGGTAGGAGTGGTAAGGGGTGAAGCCTGGTGCATGTTGTAGGGAAAGATCAACGGTACTGGGCATCTAGATTTGGGACAGTGGTGGAATGGAAGCAGGGTTTTCTTTATAGTTAGTAGGTAATGAAGGTGAAGGATGTCCCTTAATCCAGGCCTGATACATTTCCGCCATCTGATGTTTCAATCTTCGGACCTCCTCTTTTAGTTCCGATTCTAATTCTGCAATCTCTCTTGGTAGGTCTACAACCCCCGAGTCTGTTTCTTTGCTAGTCATGACTGTCTGGCACTTTGACCTGGTATTGTATGGATGACTTGCCAGGATGCCAATAAACTAACCACCTTCCTGAAATTAGAATAAAGGTAATAGAGAAAAATAAAAGAAAGCCACCATGTTAGCGTTATGGCATTTATTAGATAATAATATCACATTACGTGCAATGCACCTAGCAACAATTAATAGTTCTACAATGGCTTTGAGGGTCGCAGGGTCATATGGCATCATCCCAATTTGCTCATTTCAATCTTCTCTTTTCTTTCTTTTCTAGCACCTCTTAGCCTACATCATTTTCTTCCCACTCTTTTCTTTTTGCTTATCACTCTTTTTTTCATTTCTCACACCCTACAATTACATCTATTTTTCTTTAATTTTAAAATGACTTGATCAAACTTGATGTAGGTTGTCTATGTATCATGTTACATATGAATCAGACCAAGCGTAGTTCTGGAAAAGTGGTGAAAAAGTAAACTAAAATAAAAATCTTTTTGAATTTTTCATTTAAAATCTTTTCGGTTTTCAAAATACAAAATGGGAAGTACGATAATGAAAGACTCGACAGAATCAACTACACTACGACAAACTCTAACACTACCTAAAGGATTCAGTGCTACTAGACAAGACTAGAAAATAGAAGACAATATAAACAAACTCAAAACATATGAATAAAAAGACTCCTCAAGCAGCTCCTGGATATGATGCCTCTGGCTAGGATGGTCCTAGGCCGTCCGTCACGCTCAAGCTTTATAACATGCCTCGTAAAGAAACACCAATGCTGGGAATAAAGACCCTGGCGTGTGCCCCCGCCTCCTGAAGGCCGACCCTAAGCAAATACTGGCCATGCTGCTCCACGTTTGCTGCCAATCCCGCTAACTGAGACTTTATCAACTCAAGCTTACCCCAAGGATCCGGATCCAAAGCCTCCTCAAAATCATCCGTCTGAACTGCCCGACCCCTAAGTTGTGCTGGCAATGGGGTGCTGACCCCTGGTGGAATAGACTGCAACCAAATCAAGTACTCATGAGTACGCTTGGTCCTGCCAATATCCTCTACTAATGTATCCTTCTTCATCTTTTTTGCATTGTTCCAGTATTGCACGTACTTGATCTCATCGGTCGCCTTTCTGCTAAAATTCATTATGTGCATCCAAAGATTCAGGGTTGGCGACTCCTCTTGCCTCCTGCCCAACTGTCGCATCACACTAATGGGAGTGTATGACATGACACACTTAAGTCCTATCAACATCAAGAAAGGTTGCATGCGACATCCTACCAAGATCTCATCTAAAGGTAGCCAAAGGTAAGCCCACAAAACATTCCCATTTGTCCTCAAACCAAGGAACTCAATCCAAGCTATGACTCCTAAGGCTGCTTATCAGGCGGATTGGGCGGTTATTTACTCTTAACAGTTTGGCTTAATGGTTATCGGCTTTTAAATGTATTAATCCACTAGCCACCCGATAAGATATCGGGCGGATTGGTATCGGTTTAACTCTTATTGGGCGATTATCGGGCGGTTTATCGGCGTAGTTCAACCTATATTACGTGCATTAATTGTTTGCTAACAACCTAGCATACAAATTCAGAAATCGAAATTACACATTGAGTCTACATACAGAACTCGAAACTACTAGTCTGCCTACATAACAATGAGTGAAAAAGCAGAACACATTTGTAAATTACTAAATTGTACGCTACAGTTTATTAAAATGAACACTGTCCCAAAGCAGAGTATTAAAATTGTACACACTTATTTTCAAGAATACTTTTGTTACGCAAATGTGTACAATTGTACATTTGTCCAGTACATCCCAAAGCAGAGTATTAAAAGAACACTGTCCATTTTAAAATTGTACACATTTGTTTTCTGCAACTGTTCCTGCGTCCCACATTGTCCGGTTCCAACTTCCATCTCTACTTCTTCTCCTATTTCAATTACATGAAAAACACAAGAAAATCATTAGTGGCAATATGCTAAAAACCCAATATAAATTTATGGAGGGCCTCTCACCTTTTAGGGGTGGCAACTCCAACATTAACTCTTTACACAATAATCACCCTCATCTCCCCTGAATTATGATCAACAATTTACATATAAGACACTGAGATGGATGCTAATAAGTGGCAATCACAGACACGACACAAGGATGATCTTGTAGGTAACCAAAAGATACTTAGTAATTTTGAGAGACGTAAAATGTGCAATTATTGATAAACAGAGTGCATATTCTAGCAAAAAAATCAAAACTTCAACTGGTACATACATGCTTCACTACATGTACAAAGATCCATAAATATAAAAAGGAAAATCTGAAACTTTTTTGTCAACTATTATTTGTTGTATCTAGATCAACTCACATATAGTATAAACTACTACTACAAAGCTCTTACCTAAGAGAATACCAGCTAAATATATCAGATAGAAAAACTACATTGCTATCATATCCAACTTGAAGGCCAATAAGCGTGAAACTACATTGCTATCATATCAAAATTGTAAGGTTTGAGAGGACAAATGTCACATGTCCATAGTTTGATCAGTAGTTTTTTTCAAAGGCACTTTCCATTTACATGTATATGACTTATTGGCATTTTAGGACACTTAAGCATATGAGAAAGAAGTGTCGACGTATCGTCTTTGGTCTTAAATACATACCCAATAAAGCAATAGTCACATTTTTTTGTACTCCCTTCAGAAGTAATAATTTCTGTAAAATGATCCCACACAACATACCTTTTTCTCCTTTTTTGGTTATATTTGACTCTGTTGTTTGAGTTTGACTTATTGCATTTGAATTAGAAGCCCCACTTTCACCCATCAACACCTTATCACTTTGTATATTTTCAGACATGTATGAGTCACTGCAACAAGAAAAGTAAAGGAATGAGAATAAAGACATCAAGTTGTAATGGACTAGTTTTCAGCCATGTATTAATCGATGGAATAGTTTAGGTAATAACACTTTACTTTTTCCCAGATTGTGACCATTCCCTAAAAGAAAAGCTCCTGGCACAACTCAAAACAAAACTTACAAAGGAACTTGTGCCATGGAATTCAGCAACCAAGAAGAACTTGTGAGTTCTTGGATTTTCAATTACAGAGGATCAAATAATAGAGAACCCTCTCTTTTTTCACCTTTGGCCCTGCTACGTCCAAGGTCCAATATTGTGGTCTAGCAATCCTTATCATGTTCATTTCAGAGTAATATTAGCCTTGAAATCACTCAAGTACCAAAATTTTAAACAAGACTAGCCTCTTCTTTTTCAATTTTAAGGTAATTAAATCCTTTTTCTTGCCCTTCCTTAAACAAAACTAGAGCATGTTGTAGCAATGAACTAAACGATGAAAACACAATTATTAAGGATCAACATTTAATCTTTATTGATTAATTTAATTGTCACTGACTTCTGAGAAGGAATAGCAATAAGCAGAGATCATTGTGCCATATTCATAGCTTAAGCAAACTAGTAGTAGTAACTAAGAGTACCTGGATAAGAAGATAAGAAGCCGCGAGAGGGAGAGGCGAGATGGCGAGAGGGAGACCGGTGGCTGGTGGAAGTCGACGACGATGAGGATTGGTGGGAGGTGGCTGCTAGTTTAGGCGTTAGGGTTTCTATGATTTTGTCTTTTTGATTATTTAGGAATTAGGTTAGTCTTAGCGAATAGACATAGACAGAGTACTGGTCTACTGGAACAGAATTACAGAAGGGTCAAGGGTTTTTGTTTTTTTATATTTAATATATATAATAAAAATAAATTTTATATATATATATATATATATATATATATATANTCAAATCGATAAGTCGTTAATAAAAAAAGTTTCAATCTGTTTCCCGTTCGTTAAGCCGTTAACCCGTTACCAGTAAGCCATTAAGCTTCGGTTCGGTTCGGTTTTCGGTTTCGGATCAGTTTTGAATGCCTCTAATGACGCCTACTGGGTATGTAAACTTAGCAGACTTTATCCTACGCTCAATGCATACCACTCGATCCCGCAAGGCATGGTCGATGGGACAAAGTAAGGAAGTAGTGTGTAAATGCTCTATCATCCACAATTGCAGCACAAGGTTACTTCCCTCAGAAAACCTAACACCTCCCCTAATCTCACTTAGGGCTCGATACAACTCTACTAAGATCATCGGCACAATAGTAACAGTTTTGCATTGCTTCTCATGAAATAGTGCCATTAACACTGATTGTAGACAGGTGCTAATGTGCCTCTCATCTAAAGGAAACACCAATAATCCCAACAAAGCAAGGCTAAAAGCTTCGAGGTGGCGGCGTTGCCACTTTGCCTTGGTTGTGCAAAACTCATCCCAAAAGACGTCCAAACTATCCTGTGGTCCAAATCTAGCAAACAAATAATCCAAGAATATCCAAGAGGCATCCTAAATGCTTGTTGTCTTTGAGTCCCAGATCACAAAGGAATCTTGTCCTAGAGTGATCTCGGGGAAGTATAATGTCTTTGCCTATGTAGCTTAGACGAGTGAGACCAGACATATCTGCCAAGGTAGGAGTCATCTCACACTCTCCAAATTTGAAAACCAAATTCTACAGATCCCAGTAGTTCAACATCTCCTCCACTAAGTTTGGGCGAGGTGTGCTATCAAGAAGGGAAGTGAGGGTGCCTAACTTTTCCATTAGCTCATGCTGCTCTAACAATGAAAACATTTTCCACCACTTGACCAACTTCCTAGGAATTTTTACAATCATCAACACTTTGGATCGAATTAGCGGGTCCATACTTGAATGAAGAGAACATGGTTAGCGACTCGGGATACTACGTGATACCACAACACTTCTCAGTGGATAGATGCAAGACATGATTGGGCTATTTTTACAAAATGGCCTAAGTGGCTGAGGGTGGCTATTAGTGCAAACTCGACAAAGATGACCTCTAATGCATGAAAAGTACCCCTATTTAAGGCTTACACGGCTTCACACTCCCACTAATCATGGCCTTAAAAATTACTTTGCGGAAATGACCCATTTTGCAAAAACGACCGATATGGCCAGATGTGGCTAGAGATGCAAACACGACAAGGACGGACCTTAAAGGAACGTGACGCTTAATTGTGTACCAAGATTCTAAGACATGGGTCACTGAACCACTTTCGCAAAAATGACACCATTTTACAATAATGGCCGATGTAGCCAAAGTGGCTAGACATGCAAGATTTGGCTACGACCCCCGAAGCCAAGAACCTAAGACTCACTAGGAAGAGGAGGAAAACTGGACCCTATGTGGACTACCTACGTATCTCGCTCCGAAAGACGAGAATCGGGTATGCGTAGTTCGGGAAGATTGGCCAAAATTGAAAAGACTTACAAAAGGGTCAATAGACTTGAAAAATGAGTTGCTTCTTTTTTATTTTTTGTAAAAATGGTATGAAGGTGTAAAATATTTTTAGAAGTTTTCTTTCATTTTTTGAAAAAAGCAGCGAAAGAAAAAAAATAGAAGTGGGCCCTACTTGCTTTATTTTTTACCGTTCTTTCCCAAACATCAGTCCGCCAAATAACCTTTCTACCCTCAAAGATGCAACATTTAGCATATAGGATGATTGAATGTCATTTTAGGCCAGCGGACCTATTTGACACAATTTGGACTGGTCTCCTACAAAGGACACGGTACCTAGGACCGGGCCCTGCTAGGTCATAATGATATGATGCAAATAAAAATGACCTAAAGGCTGACCAACATTTGAGGTTCACTAACAAGGCAATTCGGGGGAGCGTATGGTCGATGGTGGCTGCTCAAGCTTTCCACCCACTCCATACGTCCGATGGCCCCCTCCTAAAATAAGGGTGACTCAACAAAGAGTTCATGCACGCGACGCGTACTACGAGACTTATTGCAAAAAGAAATGACTCAAGGTTATGCATATGATGACAGTTATAAAGCAGTAACATATAAAGAAAACTGTAAACACATAAACAACTAGCAAATAATAAAATGACATAAACAAGAACAAAAATCAAATAAAGCAAATAAAAACATAAGAACCTCAACCGAATATTCTAAAAAGTCAACAAGATCAACTACCAGCTCGAACCTGCAACTCCTAGCGGAGTCGCCAAAGCTGTCACACCTTTTTATTATTTCTTAATTCCCTTTAAAATCATAAAAGACCTAAAAACTCAAAAGAGTTTTTCAAATTGAATGTGACAAAATTGTGTTTTAAAAGATATTTCAGAGTCGCCACCTGACATTTGATTTTGGTGTGTCGGGTCACCGTTTAAAGATAATTTTCTCTTTTGAAACACTTTGGACTCCAAAATTAAGTCTGTACCAGAGATTCTACGTAAGGGGGTCCATTTGACTCGAGGAGAAGGTGTTAGGCATTCCTCGAGTCCTGTAACTAGTACGGTTGCGTACATGATCAAGTTGGCTTCCAAAATATTTGAATTGAGGTAAAAACACACAAAAAGAAAACAAACACAAAAAGGTTCGAGGTTGTCCCTACCTAAATAAAAGACAAATAAAAATAAAAATAAAAATAAAATACTACACTATGCTTCCTTCACAAACTCGTCACGGCCTCCGGAATATTTACAAAGTATTTCGGGGCATTCCCCGGATAATATAATCGACCGATGGAACAACCTCTCGCCTAAAAACAACTAAAACATGAACGTCCTAAAGATTTGCCTACCCAAATGATAATGACCTAGGCATGCTACTAGTGAGTAATACGATAAATAAAAAAAATAAAAAAAAAATAAATAAAGAAAGAAAGATTCATACTCATGTTTTATTTTTATCTTTTCACTTTTATTAGGCGGAACCCAATGTCTAAAACATGGAAACAAATTATTTGCTAATGGGCTCCGATCTTTCCCCGTCCCACAGCCTCAATGATCATCCAAAACAATTCAAAAATAGCAAATCCAATCACTAAAATAAAGTTTTTCATAGATAAGCATTCAAAGCAACTCAAGAAAGAAGAATTTGAGAAAAATCTGAAAAACTAGTAAAAATAAATGTGAAACTAAGCCATTGGAAGATCCATTAAGTCTTCTTATACCCTAATTCTTTGTTAACTTTTCACCATATTAAATCCCAAAACTAAGCATGAACACTAAATACATTATTTAGCAGGCTCACTCATCTTAAGCCAACCACCACATAGCTCAATGTAGACATTCAAAAGTACACCAAACATTTTTAACAAAATTGCAGCAATCTTCTTAATATTCAAAGAAAATTTTGAAATCAAATGTAGCATTCAGTAAAGATTGAAACATACTTTCATGAGCTCTAAAAAATTCAATAAAACTAATATATAAATATAATAGACAGACGCCTTAAAAATAGACTCTCAAATCTCGGTAGACTAACAAGGACTAACATGAAAACTTGAATTAAACAAAGAAAGATTTTCAGTTCATTTAAATACTTACCCATGCTTCCGGACGTTATTATTATACTATGAAATATTGAGAACACATTATTTCACCTTAATAAAGTATTTCAACTATACAAGGATAATGTCAAAATTACTAAGTCATGGTTCCAAACAGTGGTAAGATAAATTACCAAAGCAGTTAATAGATTTCTTTAGCAGTATGCTATTGAATCCCTCTCACATACACACCATGATTGAAGTCAAAATAAAGGGAACAGATATACTTTCAGCTCCATAAAACTAACTCATACTCTAATACGTATTCATCAGTCATACATACAACAACCAACTAATACAAAGTTAAAAGAGTAACAACTTAAAAACAGAGAATCCGGCACATTCCGAAATCAATCAAACTCCAATCATACCAAAATAAAGCAGGGGGATTAAGAATAACCTGAGATTAGCTTTCCAATGAACAAAATTTCAGCAATTATGGCACTAAATCGAGCAAAATCGAGCGAGTCCGTAATAGAGGAATTCAACAAGATTTTCAAACAGAGACAACGAGCCATGACCAGAACTACGAACAGCGAATCCAAAAATTTCGAACACCCATTCGGCTTTACTCCATTTCGAACTAAAATCCAGAAGAAGAAACTGATTTTTTTGTTATTATATTTTCTGACTTTGAAGTAGAATTGAAACTAGAAGAAACTGATTTTTCTTTTATATATGGAAAACTAAAACCAAAAATCAAAAATCAAAAACCTTGGTACTTTTCTTTTTCTCCTTTTTCTCCGATTTTTTTTCTCGAAATTTCTGTCCGAAAAAAAAAACTGAAGAACTCCTAAAATTTTCCAATCCCCCTCACTTAAAGAAATGAACCCCCAATATATATAAGCTCCAGAAGCTTTTATACTTCCCTTCCAAGTCATGAAAATTCTTCCTCTTTCTAGAAAATCTGAAAATCCATCTTTAGTCACAAGTAAAGGACAAATGGAGGGAGTAGATTGAGTGAGGCTCAATCCTACGCCTCCCATTCATCCTAATCTCGTCTTCAAATTGATTTTCAGGTGAGATGACACGTGAGGGAGAATGAGGAAGATTCGATTTGTATGAAATCCGTTACTTGTCAGGTCACGTGGAAGAGGGAAGAGAGAGGAGGGGACCATGTGATTTAGGGGGAAATTTCCGGCGAGTTTGGCATGACTAGGGCGCGGCAGAAGACTTGGAGATGGGGGGCACCGTTTGGTTAGGGTTGTTAAGGTTAGGATTTGTGGAAGGTTGAGATTATATATAAGGTGTAGGGATTAATTAAGGTCGTTGGATCTTAGAGGAATGGAGGGTTGAGATTTAAAATTGAACTTGGCGTGAGTTTGGGTCATCTGGTGGGTCGATTGGGTAAGGGGTGGGATGATGGAGATTGGGCTCAACTAAAAGGGGGAGGGGGTGTCCAAATTGGGCCTCAATTCGGGCTAAATATATTGTCCAAACCTTAGTCAAATATAAGATAAAATACTACATAATGCAAGAATTAACTCTAATTAATTATACTAAACTATATTAAAATATGAAACTACTTTTTGGTATTTTTAAGACATTATTTTGAAATAGAAATATAGAAAAATAAGTGAAAATTATAGTAAGAATAAAAATATATTGCTATAAAATACTAATGGCCTTAATTTAAAATAAGAAAATATTTAATGAAACTATTTTTGTGTTTTCAAATTTATAATCTAAAATTAAAAATAAGAGTGACCTATATTTCCATTAGAATAATTTGATCAAAATACTAGGAATACTATACTAACTTTAAAAATGCGCAAGTCAAAAATTATGTGTTTACAATGATTATCTAAAAAACTGGCGAAAATATTAGCTGAATCATGGAACAACACGTGTTCGGATCATTAAATGTGAGAAGACGTGCGTCCTTTCAAGTGTCAGAGGCCATTCAAGAACTTTCTCACCAAGAAAAGAACTCTTATCTACTTCTCAGTAGCATTGAGTTGCGTCACCGGAAAGTAGGAGGACTATCTGTATGGGGTAAAGTTGGTTAGTGACAGTTGGGCAAATGACAAAGTGACATGTGAGGATGAAGACAGGTGGGACGTGAGTCAGTAAGCAGCTGGTGCTGGATGCAATCATGCGACCGGTGCTGAATGAATCCAGAAGACAAAGTAATTGATATTCAAAATATTGTTATCGGATAACATTCAATGAGCTTCCATTATAGAGAATATCTACATTTATAACCACGTTATACAGTTATCAATGACGCTTTTATTTTTATTCAAGAGGAGCTTGATTTGGGGATATTCTCTCCCTAAATAAAGCTATAAAAATGGGAGTTAGCATCATTTGTAGGGAGAAAACATTCTGTATGAAAAAGCAATATTCTGCTCTCATTCTACAGGACTGCTTTATTTATTTTATTCTTAATTTTGTTCTTACCGCTGCTATCAGAGAAGTTGAACAGTTAGCCAGGCTTGTATTTCCTTTAATCTTATTTTTATTCTTATTCATTTCGTATTTTTGGGTCAAATTAATTCATTTGTCTATAAACCACATTACAAATTCAACAGTACCGTTTTACGAAAAACAATTGTGCTCTTATAAACAACAACATCAAACCCAGTGAGTTTCCACAAGTCGGGTCTGGGAAGAGTAATTTGTACGCATACCTTACTCCTAACCTGAGAGGATAGAGAAGCTATTTCTGATAGGGAAAATTTCATATTAGAACAATTGGGCTCCCTACTTTTCAATTTTATAGCCCATATTTCAATTTACAATCAACTAGCCCCAAAATAATAGGCTAAGATTCAACATCCAACTCCAATATGTTCTCAAAATTACTATTTAATTTTTAAAAAAGATTCCTCAAGCTTTTAAATTAATTTTCGAATCAGTAACTGTGACTCAAATATTAATTCAACAAACCAAATTCATTTGGGTGGTGAAAATTAGATTTTTAACAAGCTTAAATATGTGAGTTTAAATTTCGAATTTGATTTTGTAAGAATTGGAGTGGGTGTTATTTAGACTTGTTAGAAATAGTATAAGGAGGTTGTATATAAAATTTGAAGTCATTTAATGGAGATTTGGACTGGTTTTGAACAAGAATTGCAACTGAAAATCGTGGAAGAAGTTCGTCTACAGACGCTTGTATAAAGGTGTATAAAAGTGTATAATAGTGTATAAGGTGTGTTTCTACACTCATATACACTATTATACAAGATTATACATAATTATACAAAAAAACTGACTTCGTCTTCTTCCTTGCGTCTTTTCTGAAATTTAACTCAAATCTACTCCAAATCACTTCAAATTTAAATTTTGAACTCCTTTTGATATTTTCAATCAATTGGAACAACACCCAATCCAAACAACTAACAAATTCAAAAAAATCCATTTTCAAAAGCAAAGCTTTGAATGATCTTCAATGGTGGACTTCTACTCTTCAATTTTCTTACATTGCAAGCAGGTGACACAAGAGGAGAAACAGAAAATACATGGTCCCATGAAGCATATGTAGAAGATGTGAGAAGAAGAGAGAGTGAAAGCAATGGTTGGGAGAACATAGATTTAACCCCATAGCTTTTAGAAGCAATTGTTGTATGAACACAAATTTTGAATTTGCTAGTGCTTTCAAATTATGTACAATATGGGCTAGATGAGGTAAAACTTAAAAACTTAGGCCATTTTTTTGTTATGATGTGAAGTCATGTGTATTTTCTTATAATTCTTTCTTTCTGACAGACCCTTGGCTAGAGACTAGTCATTGTGCTCTTATCTATTCTAAAAATAATAAAATTGCCACAAGAAAATTTAGATTTAAGTACATGAGATGGTAATGCACAAAACCAGAAATGGTAGGGCTGAAATTGCAATTAAGCCGCAATGAAAAACCGAAGAAATTACCGCGGCAAAAATGGAAATAATCAGAAGTATGAGGGAACTTTTGGAGGAAACAGGAAAAACGCATAAAAGGGGAAAGAGAGAGATTCACATCTCACCCGATTTTCTTCCGCTCATCAATGCATTCTCTCACTTCCATCGCGTGCCCTCGTCGGCTCTAGAGTCTAGACTTTCCGATCACTTCTCCGGCTAACTCCTTCTCTCTCCGGCGACATCTTCGGTATATTTTCCAGTTAAATTATGAGCTCGGATTCGATGTACATGTATATGTTCACATGTGTATGTATGTATGAATATATGTATGGTGCATAGTTGATGCCGCGGTTAGTTTTGTTGCTTTTTCTTTAGCTTCTGATTGATTTTGTTATTGCTCTTTTTTTTTCGAGTTGTTAAAATTGTGTGGTTATGTTGTGATTTATTTGTGGCGATCTTCCAGAGCTGTGATTGATGGAATAGTTTTATGCTGCTGTAAGGTTTTAAGTATTGTTGTTTTTGTTATTCTATTATTTATTCTGAGATTAAGAGTTTTTGTACTTTCGTTGGTTAGGTATAGTGGAGGTTTAGTGTTGATTACTAGTAGGGTTTGAGTTCCATTTCCTGGTTATTATTTGTTGCAATTATTCACGGCATTCATGTAAACTAGCTATTCAATATGAAGCACTGCTTCCCGGAGTTTTTATATTTCATTATCGGCGTGAAACTTTAGTGTTCGCACACTTTTCCGTGTCTTAGATGTGTGTTTATTTTTTATTTTCTCAGTTTTATTTATTTTTCTGATTTATAGGATTTAAGTTATATACACCATAAGTGAATTTTAATTGGTGATAGCAAGTTAATTACCATTTTTACCAGATTATTAATTAATGTTTATCAAGAGATTTACCTATAATTACCTAATAAATGACCTGATTGTGTAAATATTTTAACACCATTAGTGCATGGAACTTAACTTCTTATTTATATACTTTTATGAGAAAAAAATGTTGTATACATTTTTTCTTTTTTAGGTGGAACCCTGAAAAATGTTGAATAGCCTTAGCTCATGTTTTGTTGGGGCAAAATGTTTAATTTCGGTAGCTCTAGTTTATATGGCCCTAGGAATAACTTGGTCAGAAAGTTGGTTATGGAATTCTCTATCAAGTCAGGGTCTCCTGGAACCATGTTAGGATCATTAGGGATCAAGTAATTATGTTGTGTGTATCTGTCACTCAATTACTGCTCTACAGATATATCATATGGTACCAGCCGACATGTCTCATGCCACCAAAATGCTATTACCGTGTTGGTACCTGCAGTTTCCGGAGAAATTCCGGATTCTGGACAAAGAGCGCTAAGAGCTTTGCTAAAAAATTGCTGAATCGATTTGTAAATGGAACTTAGAGTAGAATTCCTTTTCACTGGGCAATAAGCATGAATAAGTAGCAAGCTCACATGAATAACTGAATAAAGAAAGAAACAGATAGAACTATGACGTGTGGGTTATTTAGTTATGAAATACCATTTCAGACATTTTCGGCAAGTAAATATGGATGGTGAATGAGGTCTTAGGGTTTTTTTTTCCGGTCATGTAGGTCGTATCATACTCTTGTAGGCCTCTCTCTGTGACATGGTGATATCCCCTGTTTCTTTACTACTTTTACTTTAGGATTATCTCAGCACTTTTTAACTTTTGGACTTGTTCAATCACATATATTTTTCATTTGTGCTCTATAATACATTATACTGAAAGTCCTATTCCTCTATGACCAAATATTTAGTTCAGAGGGGTAAATGATCTTCAGACGACCAAAATGATATTGAAGCAATAAACGATCCACTAGACTTGCTAGTATGGACATTTATAACTGTGGGTAATTCGGAGTATTCCAGTGACTGACCTTTGATTTGTTCTTTTTATGCAATTCTACTGGTGATGACTAAGTTTTATTGGATTTTATTCTTGGGACTACTTTATCTTCTTTTTTCTCCGTATTGCTTGAATTTTAAGCCTCCAAATTCGTAATTCTGTTTTTATGTTCTTGATGTTTAGTCATAATTCCTTGAGCCCGGGGTCTATCGGAAACGGCCGCTCTACCTTCAAGGTAGGGGTAAGGTCTGCATACATGCTACCCTCCCCATACCCCACTTGTAGGATTTTACTGGGTTTGTTGTTATTTTTGTTGATTTTTAGTCCTTCTACTACTCCCTCTTTCTTGAGACCCAAAAATGCCTCAAGGTACTTGTGCGCTTCAAGCATGCATCATTCTTAACAGGCCCTGATACTATATATGGTGCCCGTTGCAACTTTGATGCCTTGCAACCCAAATATTCTGCTCCATATTTCAACAATGAAGCCATGTTTGTAGCCTGCCAACATCAGACTTTGAGGATTTAATAAGAGCACCCGTGTTGTCAAATATTCCTTTCTTCTCAACAGTAAAGCCAAATATTAATCTGATCTGATTTTCTTACTGGCTTAAAGATTGCTTGGTTTTCTTTCTAGCTTTTGTTGAGTTTAGTTGATGATATGATTTAGTCTGGAAACTCCACAGGTGTTTGAAATTTGAGTAGGGTTGCATTCTGTTGAATTGTGAAGATATTGAAATTACAATGAATCAGCGTACCACAATCGATTTAGACCAGGGATGGCAATTCATGCAAAGGGGCATTACAAAGCTGAAGAACATTCTAGAAGGGCTGCCAGAGCCACAGTTTAGCTCAGAGGACTATATGATGCTGTACACGTATCCTTTTAGACTCCCACACTGTTTGGGGTTTGACGTTGTAGATAGCTTGGATTTGGTTCACTTTTTGTCTCCTTAATTCAACTAACAGGACAATTTACAATATGTGTACTCAGAAGCCTCCACATGATTACTCTCAACAGCTATATGACAAATATCGTGAATCTTTTGAAGAATATATCACAGCAACGGTAAGGATAGCTGTGGTTTTCACTCACATTTCACTTCATTAGCATTAATGAGGTATAAGAAAGGAGGAAAAAGGAGCTGAATAAGCATTATTTTTATTTTTTCGGGATGTTTTTGCTATCTATGTATCATTCCGGGATGTTTGCTCTCTTCGTATGTTGGTTGACTCTTAGAAAATGACTTTTTTCCCATTATCATACAATTGAGTCTGGCGAACCTTTTTGTTGCATCTTTGCGTTTTGGATTTTGAACATGTAAGCTGAGAGGGGTTAGTGCGGGTAGTGTTCTTGGTGCACTCTATGATTACATGTGTCAAAACATTTAATACTGGGACCTCTATAGCATTAACAGGTTTGTTTAGGATATGAATTTAATTCAGAAGCTGCTTTTTCGACAAGTGTATTATTTTTAATTTTCATTCACACTATTGCTAAATTTGATTTTAAAAGAGGAGTTACGTTGTATTAGATTTAAATTTAGAAAGCTGTTCTTGCTTCTTCTTCATCACGTAGAACATAATAGGAAAAGGGGAAGGCCGAAGGGGCAAGTGGAGAAATGTTACAAAATACAGCTAACTTCCATGGATTTCTTCGTTTGTTAATTTAGGCATGCAATTTCACTTAGGAGGTTAAAATCTTGGAAAACTCAAATTTGGCTTAAAGTTTGTTTACCTAATTGTTTGTTTCTCCAACTAGTTATATCTTGACATTCCTAAATATCATTTTAATAGTGCTACTTCTGGATCAGGTATTGCCTTCTCTGAGAGAAAAACATGACGAGTTCATGTTGCGAGAGCTAGTAAAAAGGTGGTCGAACCATAAGGTTATGGTCAGATGGTTATCACGTTTCTTCCATTATCTTGACCGCTATTTCATTGCCCGGAGATCTCTGCCAGGGCTTAATGAAGTTGGACTAACTTGCTTCCGCGATCTGGTAATTTATGGTTCTCCCTCTCTTTTCCTTTTCTAATCAGAATTTTGCTTCTGTTGTCATCTATTAATACATCTTCACCTTATTCCTTGGTTAAATTATCAAGCTCTGAGTTCAGCTCATGGCTTCTTTTTTGACTTTCAATTCAGTTTTCTGGTTTTAGCCTCTTTTAGGATTTGGGTTTTAGTTTGGCAATACATACTCATCTGCTGGCAGGTCCTTTTACTAGAAGATTTTATCATTTATCTTACTGGCGACTGTTTGCTATTTCAGGTCTACCAAGAGTTGAATGGCAAAGTCAGGGATGCTGTCATATCTCTGGTATCTCTTTGGCTTCCTTTGAGTTTTCATTACCTTTTTTTTCCTTTTGATTGAGTAATACCAATCATCTAATCAGATTGATCAAGAGCGTGAGGGAGAGCAAATTGATAGAGCTCTACTGAAGAATGTGCTAGACATATTTGTTGAAATTGGAATGGGCCAAATGGATTATTATGAAAACGATTTTGAAGCTGCAATGCTCAAGGACACGGCGGCTTATTATTCACGCAAAGCTTCTAACTGGATCCTTGAAGATTCATGTCCAGATTATATGCTGAAAGTTAGTATACCGCGTATGCGACCCCTTAATTCTATCACTCTCTCTCCGTTGCTACTTCTATCTATCCTTTTTCTGGTTAACGTTCATATGTTAACCTACATATTCTTGTCAACGTTCCTTTAGGCCGAGGAGTGCCTGAAACGGGAGAAGGATAGGGTCTCTCATTATCTCCATTCAAGTAGTGAGACAAAGTTGCTAGAGGTTCATTCTAGCTCTTAATCTTTTTGCTTTACTGGGACTCGAGCCTTAAAGATGGAGGATGTTGCTAACTGCATCTGTTATAGACAAATATAGTTTTTGTTGTTCCCATCTTTTTGGATCTGGCGTAATCAGCATTCTATTAGTTGCAACTTTACTACTCTTAGTTTTTTACAGAAAGTACAACATGAGTTGTTGTCTGTGTATGCCACTCAACTTCTTGAGAAGGAGCACTCTGGATGCCATGCATTACTAAGAGATGATAAGGTACTTTGCAGCGTCTTAGTGTCCTGGTTTTTGAAAAATTTGCAGTCATTAATGAAATCATGATTTTGATAGGTCGAAGATTTATCAAGGATGTATAGGCTCTTTTCTAAGATTCCTCGAGGCTTAGACCCTGTGGCTAGTATATTTAAGCAGGTTTGTGATCTAATTATCTCACATTTTCCTGAATTGTATAATTCTTAGTTACTTCATCTATCTTAGTTTTCTCAATGCAGCATGTTACTGCTGAAGGTACAGCTTTGGTAAAACAGGCTGAAGATGCTGCTAGCAACAAAAAGGTTTGTAGATTTAGCCTTTTCTCAAATTCTTTGGTATTGAGCAGTATCTTTCCTTATTTGAGTGTTTCAACAGTTTGGCTTACTTGGAACAAGTCAAACCAGAATTTTCTGCTATTTTAATATGCCAAGTTCTTGTATTCAAGTGTCTAATCAGCTTAATTTCATAAGTTAACACATGTATCTATTATGAACTGAGAAAAAGTGGGCTGGGGAGAGATAATTTAACATATCTATCTGTAATTTCATAATTCAATTGCCCTCATGCTGCTGCACAGTGCATCAAGTACAAAGTGATTGTAAACCAAGTGAAAAAAGTGACAATATCTGTGACTAGACAATCATAACAGTAATCCATTAAGAAGGGAGATGAGTTCTATATTGTATTGTGTACCACATCCTACATTGTTTGTAAGACTAGCAATTTATTGCACATTAGAGCATCTTGCTATTCTTCTTATTTTAAATTTCCTGTTTGCGCCTTTTGATTATTTTTGTCCAGAGATTTCTAGTTAACATCATATCTACATTAGTGCATCTTGCTATTCTTCTTATTTTACTTTTCCTGTTTGTGCCTTTTTATTATTTTTGTTCGGAGATTTCTAGTTAACATCTTTTTTTTTGGGTATCAAAAGCTTGAAATCACAAAGTTTGGTTTCATCTCTGTGATTGTGTTGTTTCGTTTACTTTATTTGTCCTCCACTACTTGACCATTGATAATTTGTTGGTTAGGAATGTTACTGCGAAGAGGTAGTAGAAGTTTCTTTAAAACAGAAACCCGTGTCAACTTTTATACTTATCCTGAAAGAACGAGCACGAGCAATTGCCACTTGTCACTAGGGAACCAACAAATGATTTTGTCATGGATCGTTTTTAAATGTATTTAAACTTTTCCCCCCTTCTTCTGAGTTAGAACAATGTCATAGTTATGGTCGGTTATTTTGATCTCTTTTGTGGATCATTCTATAAAAGATGAGACTGGTGATTCTTTGTGAATGCCTTTAACAGAAATGGCTCAATGTCTTGCATTCTTTCTGATCACCTACTGTTTTTCAACAGGCAGAGAAGAGAGATGTGGTTGGTTTGCAGGAACAGGTAATCCCTTAGTAAATCTGGTATCTAGTCCTTGAATATGTGTTTGATGGTGAACTTACTTCTGAAGTTTCAGGTTTTTGTTCGGAAAGTGATTGAGCTTCATGATAAATATTTGGCATATGTGAATAACTGTTTCCAAAATCACACACTTTTTCACAAGGTATGTATTGGAGCATGGCATTTTGTCTAATTTAATTTTTCTACCCCGTGCATTAGGATTGCTAATATCTGCCCCCCTTATCACTTTCTACTTTTGTAGGCACTTAAAGAAGCTTTTGAAGTCTTCTGCAACAAGGGTGTTGCTGGTAGCTCAAGTGCTGAACTTCTTGCCACATTCTGCGACAACATTCTCAAAAAAGGTGGGAGTGAGAAATTGAGTGATGAAGCCATTGAAGAGACTCTGGAGAAGGTGAGCTCTTGCTCTCTATCTCCCTTTCCCCTTTTTTCCCTCAAGAACGTCTGCTTTTTCTTCATGCCTCTGCAGCAGGAGAAAGCTGATAATAAATTTCGCTTGCAGGTTGTAAAGCTGCTAGCATATATTAGTGATAAGGACTTGTTTGCAGAATTCTATAGGTAGAGTTCCCCACTACTGTGCTTCTCAGCCACTACTAGGATAGTAGCTTCTCTGTTGCAACTTAATGATTTCCGATTTTTGTCTCCCAGGAAAAAGCTAGCCCGGCGGTTGTTATTTGATAAGAGTGCCAATGATGAACATGAGAGAAGTATCCTGACAAAGTTGAAGCAGCAGTGTGGGGGCCAGTTCACATCAAAGATGGAAGGAATGGTATGCCATCCAGATTATTATGCTGTATTTGAGGCTTTGTTCTCTCGTGACGTTCTTCTTCTCTTCCTACAGGTCACTGATTTGACATTGGCAAGAGAAAATCAAGCTAGCTTTGAGGAGTATTTGAGCAACAATCCAGCAGCCAATCCTGGAATTGACTTGACGGTGACTGTCTTGACTACTGGCTTCTGGCCCAGCTACAAGTCTTTTGATCTCAACCTCCCAGCAGAGATGGTATATCAT